TTAAAAGATTTTACAGCCTAGTACCTACTACCCTAATTTTGGTCAGAATCATCTACTCAATGTGGAATTAAAAATGTGGAGAAATGTTGAGCAACCATTTACAGGAATATCAGCTGCACCACTTTACAAACTGTTGGAGAGAAAGAGAATTGGACAGGGGGGAGCACCTGGATTTCAGTCTTGCCTAAACTTCCACCCTTCCTCCAGATTAGGTGTTCTATTTTAAGCTCCTTAGATCTATGCAAATCTTCTGCCCTTCCTACCATAATTTAATCCATTTTCAAAATGTACTTCTGAGAATGTGGATCTAGGTAATCCCCTCATCTTCCATCAGACAATGGCTGGTAACAAAACAGCTGATACTTGTCTTAGGCTGTGTTCTCTAGAGAACGAAGATCAGTAAAGTGTATATGTATATATATATAGAAAGATTTATCTTGAAGAAATGGCTCAAGCAGTTGTAGAGGCTGGCAAGTTCCAAGTCCATAGGTCAGATGTCAGGCTGGAAACTTCTCCTGACTCACATAGTTGCAGGGGCTGATGAACCCAAGATCAGCAGGTCAGATGGCGGGCCACTGGCTCAAGTCCCAAGAACTAGAGGTCAGATGATGACGAGCCTGATGCAGGATCCAGAGCAAGACAGCAAGTTTTGCCAGAATGTGCATATGTATATACTGGATGCAGGCTATGCCCTCGAGGAAACTCCCCTTACAACTGATTGGCTGATCACATCAGATCATATCATGGAGGACGACTACATCATTACATAACTTCCAAATTACATCATTACATAACTTCCAAACTACATCGTTGCATAACTGCCAAACGACTGAGAATCATGGCCCAGCCGAGTTGACACACAACTTTAACCATCACAATACTTCTTAAGCACCTAGTAAGTTTGAATGGTTGATTACTGTCTTTCTCCATTGTGTATTTCATTCCTTTCCTTTTCCTATAAATTATTCCAATGAGGAAATGTAAAAAAATTGAATGCCTGGGAGAACTGGTGATTTGGGCCACAATGCATGTGGTGGGCTTTTCCTGGTGCCCAGAAGAACATTTCAAAGGTGGCAACCCTTTCACCTTAAGTTCACAAGTTCAAAGCATTTTGACAGCTATCTTCTCATTTGATCCACACAACACTGTATCAATTAACAGACCCTAATTTTGGTTAGCAGTTCAAATCCACCAGGTGCTCCTTGAAAACTCTATGGGACAGTTCTACTCTGTCCTATAGGGTCTCTGTGAGTCGGAATTGACTCTACAGCAACGGGTTTATTGTGGAGATGGAGCTCTGGTGGTGCAGCGGTTAAGAATCGGCTCCTAACCAAAAGGTTAGCAGTTCAAACCCACCAGCCACTCCTTGGAAACTCTATGGGGCAGTTCTATTCTGTCCTATAGGGTGGCTATGAGTCGAAATCAACTTGTTGGCAATGGGTTTGGTTTTTTGGTTTATTATGGAGATGGGGAATTGAGCTCAAGTGATTTGTCCAAAGTCACACAGCTAGTAAACAGCAAAGGCAGGATCTGAACCCAGTTGTTAGCACTCTTCCTATTGTGCCACAGCTGCCACCACTTACCCCATTTTACAGATTGAGAAGTGAAGATCTGGTGGGTTTATGAGGTATGATGAGGGATGGCAGATGCAGCAACAGAACCCAATGTTAAAGTTCTGAGCACATTTCCAGCCAGGATGGATTTGCATCTCCTCTAGGTTTGCTTATCTCTATTGGCAAGTACTCTACCAACTCCGATTGTAGTCAACTGGGGGCATGCTTTATTTTCAGATGGTGCCACAGTACTGTGTTCAATATGTGTTTAATAAAGATTCGAATGTGAGTGACTGATGACAGAGACACATTACTGACTGTGGGTCTTGTATGACCATTTAGAGAATCCGTGTCCTCAAATCCAGGCAGTGGATTAACGCAGATGACAAAAATCTAAAATGTTCCTAACACGTGACACAGCATTTTAGCTACATTTAACTGATCACCACTGAGTTTAGTTTTTTTTTTTCCTTGACCTAAGACAAAAGTACTTGTTTAGAATGTCTTCATAAACATTAAAACATTCAAAAATAGGCATGATGAAGATAACAGCACATTTTACCATTACCGACAGTGACTTGGAGAGATGTACAAACAGATTTTTGGCATGCTTTAAAAAAAACTCCTCAAAGCCATCCATTTGAATGAAAATCAGTACTGATATAATTTCTCAAATCCGTTCAAAATACAGCGATAATTATACATGAGCAGGAACTGATTTGAAAGTGAGAGCTTAATTTTTTTATTTTTGATTGCCTATATTACTCAAATACTTTACACTTCAACTATGGAGAGCGACATTAAGTACTTAAAATAGACCCGACTTGTTTCCATTTACAAAGAGGCAAACCTAAAGTACAAATAAAACTCCATGCATGTGAGACTGCTGTCTGCCCCACTCCTGCTTGGAAGTCGTGGAGCAGACTGGGAAGGGTACATTTCTCAGAGACAAGAATTATGGAGTTGGGAAGGACTTTAAAATGATCTAATCCATCATCTCACTTTATAGACGAAGAACAGAGACCAGAGAGGTAAAGGGGCTTGCCCAAGGCCACAAGGTCACCCAAGAGCAAAGCAGTCATTTGAATTCATGATAGTGTTCTGGGGTCAGACAGATTTTGGTTCACAGTCTGGCTCCACTAGCAACCTTGGACTAGAAAATGAGTCTTGGTTTCCTCAGCCATAAAAGGAGATTGATAATCTGTGCCTTCTTGGTTGTCCTGAGGACCAAGTGAGAAAATGTATGCCAAGCATCTAATACAGAAGGCATTTGATATATGTTAGTTCACTCACTTTCCTTCTCCCAAACCTCGTGCCTCTTCTCCATCCCATGCCTCTTCAGCGCATACGGGCATTTCAGATGTACAGAAAGTCTTTATTGGCAGCCATCAGGCATTAGCGCCAGTTTCCAGCTGGAGAAAATTCAGAATTTAACTAAACACTAATGATAGTTCTTTTTCTTCCTTGCTTTCTAATGTCCACAATAACTATGCCACTGGGGCCAGGGAATAGCTAGGAAGCACCACAGCAATCTGTGCAATGGTGGAGGATATCGGGAGATTCCAAAGAATATAAGTAAGTAGCAAAGATTTGTTCTCTGACCTTTCTCTTGCTTCCCTGCTGCTCCTGCTTTCTTCTTCCACGGCCAAAAGGGCAGTGAAACAGAACAGAGCAGAGGGCTTTTGAGGGAAAATTGAAATATCCAGTTAGGAGAAAATAAAATCTTCATCTTGTTCGAAAAGAGCAAAGCCTGATGACAATTTACTGAGTATACCATCAAAGTATAGATGCTAGATGCTATAATAATCTTCCCCAGTTCCGGCAGGCCTTTTCTCAGCCTTTACCACCTGCCCTCCCACCTTCTCTCTCTCTCTCTCTCTCTTTGTGTGTGTGTGTGTGTGTGTGTGTGTGTGTGTGTGTGTGTGTGTAAAATCATGATGCCTCTGAATTGTCCAACACATACGACGTTCCCTATGTAAAGCATGCAATCAGTTTCTCTGGCAACAGATAGTTGGCTTTGGTGCATCCCACTTGTGAATGGAGAGAGCTACATTTATTAGTAAATCCAGAGCCTTTAATTATAAAACAAAAGTCTTCTCAAAACTGCATACACCATTGGGTATTAAAATGTTGGTTGTTTAACACAGAGAATTTAAATTCTTGTAAAAATGATTCATAGCAACTCTATAGGACAGAGTAGAACGCCCCATAGGGTTTCCAAGGAGTGGCTGGTGGATTTGAACTGCTGACCTTTCAGTCAGAAGCCGTATCTTGCTGTAGCTCTTAACCACTGCACCACCAGGGCTCCTGTTAAAATGTAGAGAGATCATTTCACACCATCTCTTGCACTGCCTTATGCTAGAATGCTGCCTTCCTGTTTCCATGCATTTCTCAAAGGTTTTTGTTTAGGGGTTGGCTTCCACTCAGAATATATTCCATTCAGTAAAAATCAGTACAAACTAAAAATATATATATAAACATTGTTCATATCAGCCATGGGATATGGTCAATCAGCCCAAATTATCCTGGGGGGAAAAAATATATGATGGAATAACGAGGAATACCAGCATGGAAATCAGAAAACTTGGGCCCTAGTCTAAAGTCTGTCTCTAACTAACTCTGTGACCTTGGGCAGGCCCAGCCTTTCTCTACCTTGGTGTCTTCCACACAAAACTAAGAAAAAGGGACTGTAGATGTTATAAATTCTCCTACTTGATGGTGCCACCCTATCACTGCAATTAGGCTTTTGGCTACAGAGAAACTGGGCAGGAGTAGCACAACTAAGTTGGAAAGTTAAACTAGGATATTTATTTCCTACAGTCCAACTAGTAGTCTGATCAGTAAAGCTGTTAAACTTGCAGTAATATTTCACTGATGTGTACCAGAGCATTGCAAGTTATAAAATTTCCAATTTAATTTTACGGTATCTGTCATGGTTGGAATTATGTCCCCCCAAAAATGTGTGTATCAGTTTGGCTAGGCCATGATTCCTGGTACTGTGTGATTTTCCTGTATGTTGTAAACCTGCCTCTATGATGTTAATGAGGGAGGATGGGTGGCAGTTGTGTTAGTAAGGCAGGACCTGATCTACAAGACTGGATTGTGTCCTGAGGCAATCTCTTGAGATATAAAAGACAGAAGTGAGCAGAGAGACAGGGGGACCTCATACCATCAAGAAAGCAGTGCCAGGAGCAGAGCGCTTCCTTTGGCCAGGGGTCCCCGCGCTGAGAAGCTCCTAGCCCGGGGGAACACTGATGAGAAGGCCGACAGAGAGAGAAAGACTTCCCCTGGAGCCGACACCCTGAATTTCGACTTTTAGCCGACTTTGACTGTGAGGAAATAAAATTCTCTTCGTTAAAACCATCCACTTGTGGTATTTCTGTTATGGCAGCACTAGATGACTAAGACAGCATCCCTGAAGCCGCAGTAATTAGAAGACAAACTCACAGTGAAGATGTTTACAGCTTCAGGGGTGATAATTTTGAACCTGTCCTGCAGGTCACTTCTGGCCTCAAGGTTCCCCGATTTGACAGCTGCCTGTAGACTCAGGATTTTATGGTAATACAGCAGTAACTCATCATTCATATGATGGGAGCAGATGTAGATGATGCTCACATTGTCATCTAAAACAACAGGCACAACGTTAATTAGTGGAAGAAAGGTAAATGACATTATGAACCCTGGCACTGAACTGAAGTTGAGCAGTTTAAAATAAATAGCATATCCAAAGCCCCAGTGAAGTTAATTTAGACTGGTTTTGTATAAATCTTAGCAATTTAACTGGCTTTTCTGCACTTCAGCATTTCTCTAAAGAAAAGATAAATAACAGCACCATCAACAAAGTAGATGTAATGATTCCTTCAGAAGGAGGGCTGTGAGGTACCATGGACGTGTGCTTTCAGATAATACGTAGGGATTCAGCTACACAACTCCCATTAACATCAATGGGGGCTGCCTACTGCTTTAAAACTTTATCCCACTCACTTCAGTAAATTACAAAAGAGAACTACTAACTTGAGAAAGCTGATGAACCTGCAATATCTTATTCTGCCTGGACCTGACAGGCCAATTCAGGGAATGTCTTGTCCAAACAAATGGTCTCATTATGACCAGAGCAATGATTATTTCAGGAAACCAACCTTTTCTTGCTTCATTCCTAAAGAGGAGTATTTCCTTAAATAGCACATCTAGTGATTCCTGGCTTAAAGGAAAGACTCTCTTAATTTAACTGTTCTTTTTAAAACGTGCTTCTGACTAAAAACATAGAAAGAAATCCTAATTAAATATCTCATCTGAATGGAATAGTGCTATGAGATTGCCTGCTCCATGCTGCAGATTTTTTTAAGGAGTATGGACAGGAAGTCAGCAGCCAATGGAGTCATTTATTCATTCATTCATTCATATAATAGCTGACTGATGAGTAGGGGCAAAGCCCTTCGCTAGACATGGAGAGAAGTACAGCAATCAAAGCGACTGAGATGCTGCCCTTGGGGAGCAAGCATTTCACAAGCACGAACATCTGTGAAACATGGGGAGAGTAGTGGGCACAGTGCAATCTGCAGACTGGGTACTTAGAGAAGTTTACAGGAGGGAGTGCACTAAATGTTTCCTTGGTCAGGTAGAGCTGGGAAGGTAGCTTAAGACTCCTATGTTCAGTTTGGTGGTGTATACAAAGCATGTTGTGTGCTGTTAAGTCAATACCAGCTCCTAGTGACCTTATATGACAGAGTCTAACTGCCCCATAGGATTTCCTAGGACAAACCAGTCTAAGGAGAAGGACGTCATGCTTGGTAAAGTAGAAGGTCAGCAAAAGAGAGGAAGACCCTCAACGAGATGGACTGACACAAGGGCTGCAATGATGGGCTCAAGCATAGCAATGATTGTGAGAATGGCACAGGACTGGGCAGTGTTTCCTTCTGTTGTACACAGGGTCGCTATGGGTCAGAATTGACTCAACGGCACCTAACAATAACAACAACAATCTTTATGTGAGCAGATCGCCAGGACTTTTCTCCCATGGTGCTGCTGGTGGGTTCGAACTGCTGACCTTTCGGTTAACAGCCAAGTGCTTAACCATTGCACCACCAGGGCTGGTTAAATTCTGGCTCAGCTGCCTTGGGACCCAGGGTACATTATTTAACTTTCAAAGCACTGGTTAAGTTCTGGCTCAGCTACCTTGGACCCTGGGCGCATTATTTAACCTCATTTAACCACATTATTTAACCTTTCACAGCACTTGTTTCTTCATAGGTAAAATGGGAAACCTGCTGCGCAGTTTTAGAGAGTATTCAGTGAAAGAATATACATAAAGCACATTGTACAGAATCTGGCACACAGTAGGTGTACAACAGACGGTTCTGGTGCATGAATCTGCCCCGCCGCCCACACTGACTAGGCCAGCCAACAATGATTCCCGTCTTGCCTCTGCACTTGTGCTTTTAATCAGCGCCTCAAGATTTAACATCACTAAGTGGTGTCCTCTGCTGTTTCACCCTATCATTTCAAATCTATTAATCTTGAATCTCCAAGTGCCTTAAAGGCAGGGAGCAGGAGTTATGCCCTTTCCTATATGCCGCAGGCCCTGGTACGGTGTGCGGTGCACAGGAGTCGTGCAATAAGTACTTGTGAGCTGACTGAAGGGATCTGGGAGGATGAAGAGAACGAGGAAGTGGAAAGTCTTACACATTTAGAGAGACTGGTGCCATGCAGGAGGAAGCTCCCTCTCTGGGGTCAGGCAGCCTGTGGCCAGAGGCAATGTCTTGGGATGGGCCCAATATTGGGCCCAAAGTAGGTGTTTTCAGTTTCCCATTGCCGATGAATTGAATCTGACTGATAGAGACCCTACAGCACAGAGCAGAACTGTCCCATAAGGTTTCCAAGGAGCGGCTGGTGAATTCGAACTGCTGACCTTTTGGTCGGCAGCCGAGCTCTTAACCACTGCGCCACCGGGGCTCCGAGTAGGTGCTCGGTAAATGTAAATATTTAAGTGACTCCTATTTAATTTTGAAACCAAATTACCACATAAACCTCAACATAAATTAACTGAGGAGACAGTAGTTAAATAACTTGTTTCAAAATTACTGAATGAGCAAGTCAGCTATTCCAAATCTTGTGTTTTCAAGAAGAGAAGAGTGTCTTACCAAAATAGTGGTTTTTAAACCAACTAGTAGTATTTTAATATTTCTAAATGTTCATTACTCCTCTTTGAAAAAGTTTCATGATTGCCCTGCTCTATCAAGAAGACAGTGCAGCAAGAAAAGCCATTTGGTTCATAATCTCTATGAAAATTTCAATTTAGCAAAATTTTCCATTGCAGGTAGACACCGAGTGAATTATTGAATTATTTAAAATAGAAGCCTAATTCTTTCAAGTCTTTTTCAATAATGGGAATTTTTTGTAAAGAAATTCTTTGGTGATGGTATATACTATAAATAGAAAGGTATATAAAAAGCTGAAGAAAAAAATTAATTCAAATAAAGTAGAGCAAAGTCTGCCCTCTGTGGCACTTGAGTGGTTTCCACTTGGCCAGGTTTTTAGTTGAAACAGCTCAGCACAAACAAATCAATCTCAAGTCATTAAAAAAAATTTTTTTTTGTAATGCTGAAAAACAATACTATTGCCTAGATAATAGATAAAGCAATTACACTATTATTATTTGAGGACACTGTAAATTTCTAGTACTGATGTATTTTTGTTACCAAATGGCATTTATAAAATAATAATGATACTGAAATATATATGAATCAAGTAAAGTATGCCATTCCAGGGAACCAGCTAAGTTGATCATTGATAATGTAAAATTCTCCTTTGTTTTGCTTAAATAAATGTATTTTTGTTTCCCTCTTTTGCTTGCCATGAAAGCACAATGCTTCACTTCTGATACCACCTTCCACTTATTCCCAAGATAATATAATAGACACTATTGACATAAATAGGATATTTTGACCTAACTCACTACAAGATCCAGTAAATGACAATGATTTGGGGCTATATAGGAGAGAAATACTTATCCAGACCTGCAGCAAAGAGAATTTAGAAAACTGCCCAAGTAAACTGGTCAAAATGCCAATTTTTTGAAGTTGACTTCACTGTAAATCTGTTCTCTGAAACAAAACATTCAATTGCCCTATGAGTAGATGAACTATCCAAGCTGTTTCCTTGTAGAGAAAATATGAAAGAACTAGTCTGTGCATTGCATTTTTCAGTGCAAATAAAACAAACCCAAAAAACATTTTATCAACCTCCAGTGATAAACATCCCAAGAGTCATTTGTGTAAAAGTATTTACTGTACCGAAGATGTCACACAGCCTTCCCAGCTGCATGTTCTGCTGCGTGTCCATATCGGCAATACGCTTTCGCACAGGCTGGGAATATCCTAAAAGGCAAACAAAGTGTCAAAACCCAGTAAAAAAAAAAAAAAAACAGTCAATATAACAAAACGGCACATGAGAATTTCCAAGTGTCACAGTGCACATTTTCAGAATTTCTGTGAGGCAGAAGCAGAACAACTCTTGAGAATGAAGTCCTTGCTTCTCAGGGATTAAGCACTATTCTGGAAGATGTGCTAAGCATCATATTCTGCAACAGGGAGGTTCATATTTTTTCAATAACACCAGCATAGCTTCTGGGAATCAGGATTAGAAAAACGGGGGGAAATTTTCTGACATTTAACATGAATGCTCAAGATGGCATATAAGAATATTACGCTCAGGTTCAAATAAATTCATTGTTTTGGCTTTTCAATTTATACTTCTGAAGATGTGTCCCAGAATCACTCTAAACTGACATAGATTTCAGAACAACCCCTCGCTGTCAGGAATAGGTATTTAAGTAATTCTAAATACTAAGGAAATACGCTTCTGCTTACAGTCAAGAGAACTTTTAACCTTCAAAGGGCAAGAAAGGTTAATGCAGTTACTTTGTCAGTACTAATTAAAGCCCTGCAATTTGTCTTCGTTTCCACTGGAAACAGCAGAGAAGGAAAACACGTATGGATTACTATTGTCCAAAAATCTTCCACAAGAGAAACAAGAGCAGCAACACTTTCTGCTGATATTTCGGTCTTTCCAAAAAAAAAAGTAGATCAAAACATGAACTTAAAAGCCATGCATACTCACGAGTAGGTATAATTGCTTACATGAAATTCAGCAATTATAGGTGCAAACTTTTTTTTTTTTTTTTTTTTGATATAATTGCTTTTCACATTTTGAAGAGATGCTTCAATGCCTCCTTGTGGTTACTGGCCCAAACACGTTTCAAGCTAAAGTGCTATAGATAAAGTGATTTTATATACTACATCTTCGAGACGTGACACAGATTTCCTTTTCAGCATAAGGAAAACTATAGCAATTCAGCCAATGGGGCTTCAGATCAAATTAACTCTGATAACTGGCTCTTTGCTTTGATGTCAGTGTTTAAACACTAGACAATGTCTGGAAATTAAATGAGTTTACAATTCATCTAAAAGTCTCTCTTTTACTTTCTGCATATGAACCTAAGAACCAAAGAGGCTGAAGGACAAATGGGTTGTTTGAATTACTTTAGAAAATTACTAATTTCTCAAATAGTTTATGGAGCCATTCCATATATGAAAGCTAATACAGACGGCTACAATTTCCATGCTGTCTTTACGTGTGATCACAGTATTATAACTCTTGGGATTTTGCATATATATATAATTCCATCTACAGTTAGAGAAATGCTTAGAAAGATGTGTTGTGAGTAACATATATCAAGACAATACGAAGGCAGGGAAAATGCCTAAAGAATGAAGTATGATTAAGAAAGTGCCTGAGAGCATTCCATGATCGCATTTCCTTTCAAAAGTAAAGATAAAAGGCAGTGTGAGATGTCTCATTAAGATGACGTCCAATTTAAAATAAAAAAGATGTCTGATCACTTTGTTACTGCATACACAGCATGTGAGTGAACAAGGCTGTTTCCAGTCAGGCGCTCGAGGTCAGTTTTCCAACAAATTACTTGGTACCTCTGTTACCATTGTTGAAGTTTGCACAGAAAATGTCTACTTAGAATTATGATAGACCTGGCTGCTCAGTTACTCCTAGAAATATACCCATTTTAAAGAATTGAATGTTAATCACCTCACAGCATTGTTATAAGAGGATAATATGAAGTAACAGATGTGAAAACATTTTGTAAGCTGTGAAGTGCTATATAAACATAAGGTATTTCAATGTTATGAGGTACGTGCACTTCGAAAGCATATAACAAAAAACACAACAAATTCTCTAACAAGTAAAACACTATTCTATGTGGATAAGATACATTGGCAACATCAGAGTAGAAGTTTGGAGTCAATTTTTTGGTTAAATTTATTCTTATTTTTTGTACATCCAAAGGGTACATGTTCTGACATCCAGATGAAAAGACCTCATCAATGCTGGCAGCATATATTAAACACAACAGTGACTTAACCAGGAAATTCTCAATCAGGATATTATAGCCTGAGCAGTTTGGCAGACATGCTTGCTGTCAATGGGACATCACACTTTGTAATATAATCTACAAAGACATGATTACCTCATAGGTCAGACTGTAATACTGGGGCAGTTTTGAGAGACCATCTACCTTAACCCTGCCATGTAACAGATGAAGAAACTCTGTCAGTGCCTTGCCTCTTGTTCAAGATCACATAAGCCTACAAATTATTATGTAGTTCAGATAATACATAGTTAGCTCTGTGATAAATGGGTCACATTAAATAAGAGAGAAGGCAAGACTGCAAGTGTGAGCAGAAAAGAACTCCAGAACGGACAAAGAGCCTTTGACTCTTCTCGTTTTTATTTTCTTTTATTGTGGTAGGCAGAATAATGGTCCTCCAAAGATGTCCATGTCCTAATCCTTGTAAGCTGTGAATATGTGAGGTTACATGGCAAATAGGATAAAAGGCTGCAAATGGAATTAAGCTTGCTAATTAGCTGAATTTAAGACAAAGAGATTATCATGGATTATTCAGGTAATCACAAGGGTCCTTAAAAGTGGAATAGGGAGGTAGAAGAGTAGAGAGTTAGGGTAACACATGACTATGGAAGAAAGGCACACAGAGACGCAACATTGCTGGCTTTGAAGATGGAGGAAGGAACGTGGGTGGCTTCTAGAAGCTGGAAAGGGAAAACGGAATCTCCCCTACAGCCTCTAAAAAGGAATACAACCCCACTGACATCTTGATTTTAGCCCCCTTCGGACTTCTGAATTACAGACTGTAAAATGATAAATTTGCATTGTTTTAAGCCACTAAATTTGTGGTAATTTTCTACAGCAGTGATAGAAAGTAACCTGATACAACTGTCTAGTTCCCTCACTTCCACTAAGTCCCACCTCCTCAGACCTTCTGCTCCTCTTTCACCTCTGAAGGATGCCAAGATCTCTGGCACAAGAGCTCATACAAAGCACTCAATAAGTGTTGTTGTTGTTACTTTTTTTTTTTCCCTAACCTCAGCTAAGCCAGACCGAAATTCTCAAGAGGAACTTTACTTTAACGTAAGGAAATTAGTATTCTTACAAGCACAAAACTATTTGAGCTGTCAAAGAATAGTACCAATCACCAGCAAGTGCCTCAACCACCCTTTTCTAAGAAGGCCCTTGGTCTCCCCTCACTGTCAGTCTCTTGCACCCTTTTTTCACTATGCTTTTCTTATTTTGTCATTACATGTTTTTTTGCTTGCTTGTTGATGCATTTGTTGTCTGTCTCTCCTTCCCCTGCTCCACTCCCGCTCCTGCAACCAGACTGTAAGCTCCATTCGAGCAGGAACTGTGTGTTATCCCCAGTTGAATGAGTGAATGAAAGGTATCTGAAAATCCTACTCAAAGAACCTGTCTTTTAAATTCTTAGCCCTTTCTTCCATGTGTTTTCATCATCTCCCCTTCCTCTCAACTCTTCTGAAATTGGGTTCTCTGATCTGGAGAACTTCTGGGGATTTCAAAGAATGGTAAGTGGGATTTGTAAGTGTATTCTAGGTCCTCATGAGCACAGAATAAAACAGCTCTGGCATTAACAGGGCATGTTCTTCCTCATCACTACAGACAGGGACAATGCCATCCCTGTGGCCAACCTTATCACCTGCAAAATATTCCTAGCTTGATGGAGTGTTTTGTTTTTTCTTAAATGAGTGGTTGCAAAATATTGTTGCCTCCACTTCACAGCAAAGAATGGTACCTGAGAACTGCCTCTCTGAAGTTATCCAACTACTTCTGGTTCGCTATTGAACCAAGGATGCTCATCACAGTTCACTGGCAATCATTTCTCCAACTTCATTTTCACCTTTATCCCTTTCTCACTCCCTCCACACTCCCATAGCCAGTCTCATCAGATGATGAGAACTGCCTCAATAGATGATGCAAACTATCTCTGCTGGGATTGGCCTTTCCTTCACGGAAACCACAGAAACTCAAGAACATGAACAAGGCAATGCTTAGTGAATAAGCCTCCTTGGAACTGGTGCGTGCCCCTATGATGGACCCCTACTGTTGCAGTGGAATTACATTACATGCTCTTGAACACCCTGCTTATTACTCTCTGGTTTATTCCTGGTTTCTTTTGTATCCAAGTCCTATTCCCTGACAATGGTACAGTATCCAACGCAGAGAAGGTGTTAACTTCTGGTTAACAAGTAATTGCCATTCATCCGATCACCCTGGCCTGAGATGGTGATCATCCATGCCTCAGTTTGATGATCTGAAGCAGTGGTTCCCAACCTTCTTCCCATTTTGAAACACCTGATGGGTGATGTTCAAATGCATTACATACTTCCAGAGGCATACACAGGGTTATAGTAGCAGTAGCAATAACCCTATCCTTTTCCCCCCAACTCAAGAGAGCCTATTGGATTCATGCTGAACAAGAGTGACATTATTATAGGAGTAATCTGAATTGCTCCAATTCATAAAGAAAAGTTAACTATTAGCCAACTTCAGTACTCTAACAGTAAAAACTTAGGAGGGACATGTGCCATACTTCACAAATGATTGCACATCAGCATATTGCAGTAATCTAGAGAGCTGTGAGCTAGACATTATACTTATACTCAGGTTTTAGTCACTTGTGGAAGTGTGAAAGCACAAGATACTGAGAGATCAAGAAAGTGGAACTCCAAGAGATAGCATGAGAAAGGCTTATCTGGTTATTTACATAATATATCATGTATCAGTTTGATTAAAATAAAGCTGATAGTTGTTTTTTGGAGGATTAGGGAATTTTGTGATGAGGATGTAGAAAACGTAATAGGCACTCAAACATTTGTCAAGTTTTTAAAACATTCTCATATCAAATGGATTCTTCTGTGGTTCTGAAGGCCTCCCCTTCTGAAGGCTGAGGACTTAGTCTTGTTCAAACTGTCTGTTAGTGGCTGGCACACC